CCCAGGGGTGCAGGGGCCCCCCAAGTGCATGGAGCGACCCCAGGGGTGCACGGCGTCTTCCACTGCACGGAGTGTCCCTGGGGTGCCCGGAGCAGCCGTGGGAGGGAGGGACACCCCCAGTGCACGGAGTGTCCCCGGGGTGCAGGGGCACCCCGAGTGCGTGGGGCGACCCCAGGGGTGCAGGGACTCCCCCAGTGCACGGAGGGGCTCTGGGTTGCACGGGCGGGTTCAGGGATGCACGGACGGTCCCCGAGGGCAATGAGGATCGCTGCGAGCGCACGGACGGTCCCGCTGAGCTTCGGGCTGCGCTCCCTAAGCCTGGGCAGAAGGGAGAAAACTGCTTTCCCCGCTGCCCTCTGCCCATGCCCAGCACGCACCTCCCGGGCAGCCGCTCCGTGCCTTGCCCGGCTCAGCACCGAGCACCCCGAGTTTGGGCTCATGTCTCGCACCTCTCAACTTTCACCGTGCACCCCCCTGCGAGCTGGGCTGCGCTGGGAGCTCAGGCTAACCCCGTGTCCTGCTCCTTTCTCCAAGCTCAGGCTGTACCACTGCTGCATTCTGTCCAGGGACCCGAGGAGCAGCAGCTCCTGACCAGGGGCTTGTGCCCTGTCCTGTGCCGGGAAGCAAACGCACCGAAGGGCTTTCATGAACCCCTTGAAGGCCAAATAGGACTGGAGCTGCTTGCGGGTTGTCAGGGGCTGATTGGGAATGCTTGGAAGATCAACGGTTAAAGTCACGGGGTCGTTTATCGCAATGTTTGCTCTGCAAGTTCTTTTGCAACAGAAGTGGTGAAACTGGCAGAGTCTCTGCCAAGGAGGTAGAAGTTTTCAGTGCGTGGGGCGACCCCAGGGGTGCAGGGACTCCCCCAGTGCACGGAGGGGCTCTGGGTTGCACGGGCGGGTTCAGGGATGCACGGACGGTCCCCGAGGGCAATGAGGATCGCTGCGAGCGCACGGACGGTCCCGCTGAGCTTCGGGCTGCGCTCCCTAAGCCTGGGCAGAAGGGAGAAAACTGCTTTCCCCGCTGCCCTCTGCCCATGCCCAGCACGCACCTCCCGGGCAGCCGCTCCGTGCCTTGCCCGGCTCAGCACCGAGCACCCCGAGTTTGGGCTCATGTCTCGCAGCTCTCAGCTTTCACTGTGCACCCCCCTGCGAGCTGGGCTGCGCTGGGAGCTCAGGCTAACCCCGTGTCCTGCTCCTTTCTCCAAGCTCAGGCTGTACCACTGCTGCACCCTGTCCAAGGACCCGAGGAGCAGCAGCTCCTAACCAGGGGGTTGTGCCCTGTCCTGTGCCGGGAAGCAAACGCACCGAAGGGCTTTCATGAACCCCTTGAAGGCCAAATAGGACTGGAGCTGCTTGCGGGTTGTCAGGGGCTGATTGGGAATGCTTGGAAGATCAACGGTTAAAGTCACGGGGTCGTTTATCGCAATGTTTGCAAGTTCTTTTGCAACAGCAGTGGTGAAACTGGCAGAGTCTCTGCCAAGGAGGTAGAAGTTTTCAGTTGGGGGAAAAAAAAATTCCCTTTTCCTCACCACTTCCCTCTTCTGGGTTGGCATCTTGAGGCTTAGTTGCTGGTGGCTTCCCTGGTGTCCCATCAATGTTTCACTTGTTTTGCAGCGTCTTCTTCCCCTGAGCAGTCTGTACCTGCCTGCAGAGAGCACAGCCACGTGTTGCCTGAGACCTGCCCCTCCAAAAGTTGTCTGTGGGGCGGGGGAGCTGGGGGAGAGGGACCAGCAGTTGCAGAAAATGCCCCTTTCTTATCAAAAGCAAGCCCTGAAGTTGCATGATGAGGGGTTGCAGGAGGAAGAACTTGTGTTGCAAGGCGTGGGGCTGAGGCACAACCATTGTTATCAGGAATGGGGTGTGCCTTGGATTTGGGCTAAACTGTAATTCTTCATTTTGGACTTTTCCTAGTGAAATAGCTGGTCTTTGTGCTGCTTTATGGTCAAGCAAACTTAGCATGATGTTTCTGGCCATGTCCCAGCTGATTAAAGTTCAGTGCCTGGCTAGTGATGCTGATTAAGTAAAAATAGGCAGGGGACGGGGTGATACTGCAATGCTTGCCATGGACCTTGGCTTGAGGCAGAGGTGAAGAAGCAGGTTACAGTCACCATGAAGGAGTGCAGAGGTTTCAACTGTCAGAAAACCTGTGTCCCTTTCCGTTTGCACTGTCAGGGCACAGCTACTGTTTGTAACAGATAGTTTTGTGTTTGGTAGTTAGAGCTATCGCTGGTAACAGAGAGAGCAACATAATCTCCAAAAGCAAAGCTTCAGACTCCCTTCCTTTCTTGCACAGCAGGGACATGTGGGAGATGCCACTGACTTCAGAGTCCAGTTATGCTGGACAAATATCTCCTGCTTAACTGTGCTGTAAACCTGTGGCACTGGGGGCTTGATACTGGTACTAGATCAGGCTCCTTGCTTGGCATCCTCATTCACACCCATCCCTATCTGTGCCTGCACAGCTCCTCACGCTGCCTGTAGCAGATAGAAAACCTCTGGGTGGGGGGGATTAAGACAGAAGAACCTTTTATCACCTCACCATGAAGGAGTGCAGAGGTTTCAACTGTCAGAAAACCTGTGTCCCTTTCCGTTTGCACTGTCAGGGCACAGCTACTGTTTGTAACAGATAGTTTTGTGTTTGGTAGTTAGAGCTATCGCTGGTAACAGAGAGAGCAACATAATCTCCAAAAGCAAAGCTTCAGACTCCCTTCCTTTCTTGCACAGCAGGGACATGTGGGAGATGCCACTGACTTCAGAGTCCAGTTATGCTGGACAAATATCTCCTGCTTAACTGTGCTGTAAACCTGTGGCACTGGGGGCTTGATACTGGTACTAGATCAGGCTCCTTGCTTGGCATCCTCATTCACACCCATCCCTATCTGTGCCTGCACAGCTCCTCACGCTGCCTGTAGCAGATAGAAAACCTCTGGGTGGGGGGGATTAAGACAGAAAAACCTTTTATTACCTTTTTTTTTTTTTTTTAAATTAAAGCCAGATTGCTGTATTTACCTGCAACACTTGTCCCCAGGCAGTCACAGGAGCAGAGTCCCTCAGTACTGGAGTGGACACCAAGACAACCAACCTCAGAAACCACAGGCTGTCCTACTGTGATGGCTTGGAGGGATGGGGCTGGCACGGGGCTTTAGAGCCGTAAGCTGCTTGGGGAAAGCTGGCTTTGTGTTTATACAACTCCCCTGAAGGCAGGCCTTGCCTGTGTCTCTGTTTGAAGTGAAAAGATAGGCAAGAGCTGTAGGGTCTGCTGCCCCAGAGGGCTGAGCATTAATGAGAAGAAACCTGGGGCTTTGCACTGTATTTATCTCCTGCTCTTTGCCCATGTAAATCCTACTCTTGGAAACTTCTGTTGGACTGGCCTGCCCATGTGGTGCTGCTGAGAGCCACTCGATGGCCTTGTTGGCATCTCCAGTGTTGGGCAGTGTTCCTCAGCCCCTGGGTTAGCAGGGACAATGCTCTGGCTGCTGCTGACTCCAATCGTGGAGTCCATTTGTGTGTCCTCAGCTGTGCCGTGGCTCAGTGCCTTGCTTTTGTTTGCTGAGGTTTTAGTAAACAACCTACAATGTCCTTTTTTTTTTGCATAGGGTGCTGCACCTCAGTGCTGTGATCTGGGCCTGCTCCTTTGCATGCTGACCATGTTCTCTGCTTCTTGCCAACACTTGCCATGCCCCTCTTTTTAGAAGTGGATGTTTTTTGGCTGGTTTTTCCTCTGGTCTGGCTGCGATTGGAGCTGAGGAGGGAGAGTTGGGAACTTCGATAAGACAAGGGTTGGAACAGCACCAGTTTAGACTGACTTAAACTGTTTTTCTGGGAAACCCACTTAGGCCAAGGTCTTGCCATCACCTGAGGGAGGGTGTTTCACCCCTCCTCACTGGTGGCCTTTAAGTTTATGGCCATTGATGGGCTGGGATCCTTGTAAGCTCTTCCTATTTCATTAGAGTGGCCGATGCTGAGGCTTTCCCCATCCATTTAGGGCATCCAGCTGCTCCAAGAAGCTGTCCCACCCTCTAGAAATGAGGGCAAAGAGAAGAAGCAGCCTCTTCCCGGGTGGAAACAAGTCTCTTGGAAACACCGGTACTGCCCGTGACCTGCTGACCTCCATGCAGCTTTGCTTGCCCCTTCCTTGGCTGACCACGCTTGGCTCTGCCTGCCAGGCAGGTGACACTGAGAGACCTCAGGAGCTGTTTGGTTTCTGCTGGCAACCTTGCAGGCCTGCAGCTGCCATCTCTTGCTTTCCCCATCTTTTGCAGAGTCACAGTGACTGGCGAAGGCTGGGGTACAAGCAGCCCTGGTTGTGTGCTGGGCTTTGGAGAACTTTTGGGTTTTTTTTAAGCTTTTAACCTGCAGAATCAAGGGAAGTCATTAATTCTAGAGGAGCGTGACCTGCCTTGAGCTCCACCTTTCCAGGCAAGCTTGCGTGCCAGTAAGGTTTCAGCTGGTTTAAATGTTGTAGGTGTGGCTTTTTCCACAGCTGCTGAACTCTGGATTTGCTGCACATCGAGAGATCTGTCTAATGTCCAAGAGATAATGCATAACAGCTCTGTGCCTGCATCTCTGGCTGGCTTGAAGTCTTCCTCATCTGAGGTCTCTGTAGTGATATTGGGCCTCCTTAAGTCCAGTTAAGCTTTGGATCCCATCCAAAGAAAGGGAAGTACATTGAAAATGGGAAGTGCAAGAGGCTGCAAGTAGCTCTCAGGGGGTGGGAGACTGAGGTGATAATAAACTGGGATTTACATGCAGAGCATCCTCTTGAGAGGTAACAAAGTTGCACCCATCCACCCTCAGCCTGCAGCACCTTTCAGAAGCTTAGTTGTATTACTGATGTAACAGTAGTGATCCTTCTTCAAAGCGACCAAAAGCAGAGAAAGGCCAGGGCTGAGCTGTGGTTAAAATGTGATCTCCTTCAACATATGCTGCCATGCTCACCCATCTTTCAGAAGCGTTGCTGGACTCTCATATAGGCAGTTAAATACTCTGTTTTGGGGGGAGCTCCTACTATACTCTAGGAACAGCTGCTGTGCTCTTTGCTTTGGCTGCCGGTGCTCTGAACTGTTTACTAACAATACTGTTGGCAGCAAACCCATGCTTTCATTGTGTGGCTTCCTTGGGAGATGTTATCTTGAGGCTGTTTCAGCTTCTTCCTTTGTGGTATTGTCTGAAGCTCCCAGCTTTCTGGTAGGAGAGGGTGCATGGAGTGCCAGCAACCAGTAGTGAGTGTGCATTGAACACCCTGGGAGTCAGACTGTGGTGATATTTAGCAAGCACAGTCCTTTAAGGAGAGGGCAAGTTGCTTAAAATCCCTTAGGTCAGACAGTGGTTGTGCCCTCTCTGGCACAGTGTCTGCCCTTCCTTGCTAAGACACCACGTGTTGGCCTGTGTCTCTGGGCAAGGATCCTCTTGCATGTGTTTGTAATGTCAAGTCTGCTGGGAAGAGCAGAAGAGCTGTTGTGCTGAGCCCCCAGTAACAGCTCTGCTCTGTCTCTCTTTGATTTGCAGAACAATCAAGTTCTTGGGATCGGAAGTGGTTCTACGATTGTCCATGCGGTGCATCGATTAGGTAGGATGCTCCCCTTCGTGTCCCCACCACTGCAAAGTCCCCTTGTCCAGCTGCCCCAACTACTTGGAGGAACAGGCTAAATCTTCTGGATCCTGACTTAGAGCTGATGGGTCAGGTCCGTTCACAGACTGCTGTGTCCTTCTTGAAGTTGAAGGTTAAAAACAGGTCTTATGTTTCTAATTTATTGCACAGATAGTCCCGAGGAGGTGGTGATTTGCCACCTGTTCTCCCCAGGCAGCCAGCAAAACGCTTTACTGGCACCCACCACAAACTGGAACTAAACACATCAATTTCTTTCCAGCTCTGCTCAGTCCTGACTTGCTTTGTGGCTTTGGGCCATGCAGCTGCTTTCCTTCCTTTAACCCATTTGTATGCAGCTGAGCTGCTTCCTCACACCCACATTATTCACACTGAGGGTCCTGCTGAGATGCAATGAGATGTAATGCAAGTGAGGAATAAATTCCT